CGATCGTCTTGCCTGACCTCCTGCGTCAGACGAGGGCTCCCGGCGAGGAGGGGATACCGGGCGGTGGCGGCTGGATCCTGCGGCCGTGCCGGGCTGGGGATGGATGGAGAGAGAAGCCTGAAGGGGAGCAAGGTTTGGGAATGCTGCCGTGGCAGTGGAGTGGCTGGGTGCTCCCATCACACACCGGCACCCAGGTGGGTGCTGGGGACCCGCTGCTGGCCAGGAGGGAGCGGGAGCTCCAAATTCATCCCCGCAGGGCAGCACCGTGTGATGGGAAAAAAAAACTGCTGACAGCACCCCCGGCCTGGGCATCACTCTTTAACCCGCTGCTCCCTCCAGGCTGGAGCACCCCAGAATTCCCCATTCCCTAAAGAGCCTGCCAGAAAGCCGAGCTACCCGCGCAGCTCCGGCTCTTCCATCCCCTCCGCGGGTCCTACAACCACCGCCCTCCCGCTGCCCGAGGAGCCGGGAGCCATCCCCGGGGATGTTCGCAGAGCTCCGGACCAGCTGTGACCCCGGTGCCGGCTGTCAGGGGGCGGGCAGGGGGCCAGCCCCCTCCTCCCCAGCCCCTCGCAGCCGGGTCCTGCCGGGTGGGGGGGACACAAAGCCCAACAGACGTCACCCCGGCATCACGCGGTCCGAGTGGCCTTCTCCATCTTGTTAGCACATTGTGTAACACAACATGTGGAGGCGCTGGGACCGCACACGCATGCACTCCCCGACAGCCCAACCGGGGGGAAAAGAGGGAGGGGGAAAAAAAAAAATTAAAAAAAAAAGAAAAACCCAAGAAAAATAAAAAAAAAAAAAAAAGGAAGCAATTTAAGCTTTGAATCTTTCTCTTTAAAATGTTCTCATGGCTTCATTAGAATTTGCAGCCACAGAGGCTTTGAAGAACATGGTATAAGGAGTGAAACATCTGGAAAAATTAGGATTAATGAAAACATAATTCCCAAGACTAAAGGAAAGATTAATCCTGCGTTACCACTTGTGTGTTCCACAGCTTTTCCCCAGCTCGTAACACTGAACTTATTAAATCGCCCTGAGCTGAGTTTTCCTTTTCTCTCTCCCTCCCCTATGGAGCCCAATGGAAGCAGCTGATGCCAAATGTAAGGATAACCAACTGTGCTGGCCAGCACTGGTGTGAGCACTCCTGCTCTGTGCTCAGGTGGGCACCCAGGGCCCTGCTGACCTGCAGGGGGGCCCTGCCTGGGGCTGGGGGGGTCCAGCGGGTTTGAGGCTGGTCTCTACTGGGCTGGTGGGTGCTGTACCCCACTGGGGCTGCACCTGCTCCTGCCTGGGGTCCTGAGCAGCTCACGGGATGGGGGATGCTGGGGAGCTAAAGATAAATGAATGAGCCGCCTTCTCTGCTGCTGGATGCTTGGCCAGGGTGAGACTGAAGCGGCCCTGAGGTGCTGGTGTCTCTGTGAGAGCAAGGGTAGCCCTGGTGATGTGACACACTGTGCCATGCCACACCACTGCGCCATGTTGTGCCATACCAAGCTGTGCCACACCATTCCATGCTGTGCCATTCCATGCTGTGCCATTCCATGCTGTGCCATTCCATGCTGTGCCATGCCATGCTCCAGGATCTGGGCTGTGACCAGGGGGCTGGGACATGCCAGCCCTGTGCCAGCTGGCAGTGTTCAGCTTCGCCACTGCAGTGCTGGAGGGTACTGGGGGGTCACATTGGCTGTGCCACCCCCTGTTCAAGCCCCCTGGACAGAGCTGGCCTGAAGTCTTGGGCAGCTCCGAGTGGAGCTCAGCCATGCTGAGGGACCCTCTGCTCAGGGAAGATGCTCTGGAGTGACAGACCCTTTGTCCTTGTAAAATCCTGCAGCAATTCCTTTGCCACCAGCAAGTACCACCGGTGGGTGCCGGAGCTGGTTTGGGGTCACATCGGATGTTTGTCCCTGCAGCTTTATCACCACAGACTCTGTTTGTGCTCTGCACAAACGGGTGGGGCCGGGGCGGGTCCCTCCCCAGACCATGGAATCGTGGTGCTTCTTGGGAAGAAGGAAAACAAGGAGAGCTCACTCCATCATGTGTTCATCCATCCTGCGCTGGGCACAGGGAGGCACTGCCAGCTCCACACCTGGGCTGATCAGCCCAGCACAGCGATCCCAGCAGCTGGAGCCTGCAAGGATCGGGATGCTCCAAACGCTGGGGACAGAGAGCAGCACCCGTTCTGCGAGTCCCTGCTGGGATTTGGGTGGGGTCTTGCCTGCTGGGTGCTCCCCGCGACATCAGGGTGAGGGAACCAGAAGTTTGCTGCATCCCCTCCTTGCCTCATAGCCCGGATTATGCCAGGACTGCATCTGGACGGGGCCAAAGGTGTGTTTGACCCATGCACGGAGAACAGGGATCATTCGCCCCAGGCCTGGTGAAAAAAGGCTGCTTTGCCCCACACACGGAGTGCAGGAGGAGGCAGCGTGCCCTGGCCACTCCCCAAGAAGGGGAGGCTCCCAAGGGCCTCAACAGAACCCCTTTCTCCCTCCTTCCCACGCTGCTGTCCCACTCAGCTCCAGCTTGTTTTCCAGAGAGGAAACCGACAACCTTGCTCTTATTTTTTTTTTTTTCTATATATTTTTTTTTTCTTTTCTATTTTCTTTTTTCTCCCAGTGAGAGCGGCGGGGCCCAGCTGGGGGGCAGCGGTGCCGGCGGGCGCCAGGTGCCGGCGGGGCGGCTCGGG